ATGACACGTCGCTCCGACTCGATCTCGTAGTCAAGCGGTCCCGCCACGACGAGATCTCCGGTCACTCGATTCAGACTGAACTTGCCGGACCCGCCCAACCGACCGCCGGTCGCCTCGGGGCCCGGCTGACTGGCGGCCCAGTCGATGAGGTATTCGACGCGACCGTTGTCGCCCGAGTCGGCGTCCAGCGCCGAGAAACGATGCACCATTCGGCCCACCTCCACGTCCTCGGCCACCGTCAGGCTGGACGGCGAGCCGGCCGTCTGGAAGACGGGAGCATGGTCGTTGACGTCGGTGATGCTGACGACCAGACGGAGCACGGCCTTCCGGCCCGGCGGACCAGCCTCTTCGGCCACCAACTGCAGCCGGTACCGACTGCGCCGCTCGCGATCCAACTCCCGCATCACCTGAAGCTGTGGCGCCGGCGGCGGTGACGCTGACGCCGACGCCAACGGCGACGCCGATGGCGAATAGTAGTCGGCCGACGACTGAGGGCTCGGCGAGTAGAGGCTGAAGGTGTCGAGGCCAGTCTCCCCGGCGGATAGGCCCGACTGCTCCTCGTCCGCCTCCCCCGGCCCCGGCAACAGGACGTAGCGACGGATGTTGTAGCGCAGTGAGTCGGCGTCGGACGCCGCCGGCAGACTGTGCCGGCTGCCGACGGCCGCCGACTCGGCGATCTTCACCTCAAACTCGCCGTCCGAGTCCTGGCCGAGTCCAGACTCCAAGCCGAGCGGGCCGGCCTTCGGCATCGGCGTCGGGAGGCGGAAGATCGGCTCATTGTCGTTCTCGTCCTCGAGGAGGACGTGAACGATGACGCGCAGTGTCGTCGAGTCGTTGCGCAGCATCAACACCTCCAAATCCAGACTGCACTGGTCGAGCAGGCAACAGTTCAGCTTGGCGCACACTTTGTCACGGTCCAGTTCACTGTGGGTCACCAGGTCGCCGCGTTCACTCACGCGAAAATGCGTTTCCCTGTCCAAAATGGCCTGTTTAAAGGGACGGCCCAAATCGACCGCCTCTCCGGCCATCCGGCCGGCCAACATGAGCACATTTCCCACCACGTGGTTCTCTGGTGTGT